CCCAATCCCCCCCCCCCCCCCCCCAATTCCTGGCAACCACCAATCTACCTCTGACTCTGTGGATTTGCCTATTCTGGGGATTTCCTATACATGGAATTCCACAATATATTACCTTTTGTGCCTGGCTTCTTTCACTTTGACTAATGTTTGAAGGTTCGCCCATGCTGCAGCAAGGGTCAGTACTTAATTCCTCTTCATGGTTAAGTAATATTCCATGGTATGAATACACGATGTTTTGTTTAGCCCTTCATCAGTTGACAGCGGTTTTGGTTTGTGTCTGCTTTTTGGCTGTTGTGAATAGTGCCACCATGAACTCTCCTGTATTGTAATGTATATTCTCATAAAATAGCATCAGTGACCTTGTCCATCCATTTACAGCTCTATTGGCCAAACATGTTGTACACTCCCAAATTCTTGAGGGCAGGGAACATGGCTTGCCTGATCACCACTGCCTTCCAGCATTTTTTTAAAAAAAGATTAAAAAACAACAACACATTTTATTTGAGAGAGAAACATCGATTTGTTGTTCCATTTCTTTATGCATTCATTGGTTGATTCTTTTAAAAAAACATTTTTATTGATTTCAGAGAGGAAAGGAAAGGGAGAGATAGAAACATCAATGATGAGAGAGAATCATTGATCGGCTGCCTCCTGCATGCCCCCTGCTGGGGATTGAGCCCACAGCTCAGGCATGTGCCCTTGACAGGAATCCAACCCGGGACCTTTAAGTCCATAGGCCAATGCTCTACCCACTGAGCCAAACCGGCCAGGGCCATTGGTTGATTCTTGTATGTGCCCTGACCAGGGAAGACACACTGAGTCTTCCCATCCATGAACATGGTATATTTCATCATTGACTTGGGTCTTTTAAAATTTCTCCCAGCTGCATTTTGTAGATTCCAACAGGACCATTCTCTGAAAGAAGAGATGACAGGATTTATGGGTGATTGGGCATGGGAGGTGAGGAAAAAAATGGGGAGGACAAAGCTAAATACCAAGATTTCTTTCTGAGTCACTGGGTTTAGTTGAAAAAGAAAGCAACTTGCTCCAGGCTAACCGTGGAGTCAGTGTAATTGACCTCAGGGCCAAGTGCATGCAAAGACCTTCTGAAACCCAGCTCTCCACACCCTCCCACCCTGGGGACACTCTGAGCCTCAGGGCCAATTAGTGCCAACATTCCAGGAGGAGGTGACACAGAGTAGCTGACACCTTCTCCCATGAGCCTGCAAAGACCTGCTTGCTCCAACCAACTAAGCCACCTGGCAAGGGCCCACTTCCCAGCATTTATAAGGTATGTAAACCTGCTAGAAGATAAGAGTTGATGGATTGTGGTATTTTCCACTACAGATCATTAAGTAGCAGTTCAAAAAGAAGAGCCAGACATAAATAAAAATATTTATATGTTTTATTTGATTTTGACCTTTCAGGTCATTTCCAACTTGCTGGATGGTGAGCCTTCTCAGTGAGGCTTACCCTGACCCCTGACCCCACAAGGGTCCTGGCACAAGAAGATGAGGTCCCAGGAACGTGCTCCCTGGAAGCAGAAATCATGTTCAGTGAGGGGAGACCCCACCCTGACACAGGAAGAGGCAGTTCAGATGATGAGCTGAATCCAGCAAGGAGATCTCATAGTTTTTGGGTTTTTTTGTATTCGATCACCCAGGTCATCGTCTCTCCCATGGATTCTAGAGGGGAGACCCCACCCTGATACAGGAAGAGGCAGTTCAGATGATGAGCTGAATCCAGCAAGGAGATCTCATAGTTTTTGGGTTTTTTTGTATTCGATCACCCAGGTCATCGTCTCTCCCATGGATTCTA